GGTAATGATCACCAAGAACAATTTCATCAGCATAATGTCCGCAATAAAATATCTTTCACATAACTTAAACTTCCGGACCTGCAAAAGAGATAAAGTCGATCAAGATATATTTATGCTATTAACATATGTAAAATTTTGTCTGTGGAATATAAACTATTGGAAGGAGTTCTCTTTAGCGGTCCATGTATCCTCATCTCATTATTTGATCAAATCAGATGATGACAGACGCTAACATTTAGGTTGTAGACACGAGTAATTTACACAATAACCGTTTGTTCTAAGATCCTGCAGAAAAAAGAGTCTGTTGTACTGTTAAGTACACTTGAGACACAACTTTGCACTTAGGTCTAGATAAAAGTAAAAAAATGTAATCAGAAAATTATCAGGATATGAAATTTGTTTTCAATATGTAAATGATGGATAAAATGTCTTCTTGATGAAATACTAAATACGACAATGACTATGTGCATAAATGTTAGTACTGAAAATGTATGCAATGGTGATCTTTATTTGGCATATAAATAGGAGGAGGAGGGAAGGTACAGATATCCAACATAAGAAGCTTTTACTTCATACCATTGCTGTGTTAGTTTAGATTAAACCACGATTTTTAATTTCCTCCATTAATTCACTCCCTATAGACCCTTTCATTTAAGACCAGATTCAAGTTGTCGCCCTTGGATGACGTTCATCGGGGGATACGATGGACATTGCCGATACAATTAAGCATATGAATAAAGGGATATAATGATCTTATTCCTTTTCTTGTAAGATTGGCAGACGGAAATTGCCAAACAAATTTGTAATTTATAAGATATTATATAAAAGGATAGTCAAATGAATAAAATAACATTATAATTGTTTACCATAATAAGTTAACGTTTTCTTTTTAACTTACTGATCATGCTTAGCATTTTAGTTTGATTCTAAACAATGAAAATTGTCGCACCGTGTATTACCAGGCAATTAAATTGTACTTACTTGGTAATACCAGATATCTATGTCTCTGCTAATATACAGTACCAAAGAGATATTTTGAGTTTCACAAATGCAAGTATTCAGACAAACGGCTGTGTAATAATTAATTGCAAGATACTGGTTGATTAAAAAATAATTTGATTTAAGCATAACTAAGACAAAGGAAAACAGTAATAAAAATATATGTAGTTTCAAAAATTCTTTTGAATATACATAACTGTATGCTATTTGTGTCGGCAAAAAAGCCAGTTTCAAAAATTCTTTTGAATATACATAACTGTATGCTATTTGTGTCGGCAAAAAAGCCACTCTTAAAAAATCGTACATCCGCCAATTATTTTAAAGCTGGTAAATTGATATTTTCAGCATGATATTTTTTATTTAATTCATATTCTGCTTACCAAATATTTAAAAAAAAACACGAACAACAAAAAAAAAACAAGTTGTGAAGTTCGTACACAGAAATTCGTTATAAACTGAATTATAAGTTAACGTATTTTTACTGTGCCAGTTGGTCGTCATTCTGGAGTATCAACTCAGTAAGGCATGACCAATAAAGTCCCTAGGATGATCCATAACCAAATTCGGATCATAAATATTTGACAACTAACAAAAATGACGTAATCTGATGCAATGTTATAACTCTTAAATAGGCACCCTGATGATTTATGATATCAAAGCCAAGTGCCGCTTGGGTTATATACAACATATGCACCTTGTTAATTAATATGTTACGGTCCATTTGCGCTTTATTTATTTATAAAATAAGTTATTAGGAAAAGGTCTTTATTTTCACAATCATAAGAATAGATTTGTAAAATCAAAATTACCTTTTTATCGTCTGTTGCAAATCTTACATTACAAAAGTCTAATATTTATAAAATTATATCCTTCACTGGTTCTTTGAACGATTTTTTACATGGCATAATGAAAAAGAATCAATATGTCTTGACAGAATGCATTATGCTATTGTTCTATTAAAGCTTGAAAAACAATCATTAAAAAACTGACAATCTTATTTTCATGTTTTTCACAAAACACGAAATATTCTAAATGACAGAAAATCACACAGAAAACTAGAAAATGGCCATTTAAATTCATATAAGGTTATTTCAATGTGTATGAGTGTTTATAAAATATTAAAATTTGATTTAGTAACTAGCTTTTTACTCTGGCACTAGAGAAAATCTAATAGATATGTATTTACTTTGAAAGTCCGATGTTTTACCCCGTAGCAAGAATTAATCTGAATCTTTGTTTTTATGTTTTTTATTTTATATTCTTGATATGAAATTTATATATGCATAAGTCAAATTTCTCATGTTATAATCGGAATTTACGATCAGTATTTGCGTATTTAACTTTCAATAAGCTAACACTCTACGCGGTTTGTATAGTATAATCCCCCATTTACGTCACATCCGGTAAGGTAAGTAACTCTTCCTCGACGCTTTTCGCTTAAATGAAAAGAAAGCAGACATTATGTTTTATGCAGATTGTTTGTGTATGACAGTCATTACAGGTATAAGTCGTTTTACGTTGCTGAATGGGATGGTTTTTTTTATCATGTTAAACAAAAATACAATTATGCAAAATATGACTGGAACATTTTTGATTACAAGGTTATAGTAAAATATTATTTGAACATAATTTTCACCATTAATGTTAATTGCAATTTAGAATAAGTTTGATTAATTATAACACTGTGACTTAGTTTTAATGATGTTTCTGATTTGTAATTATAAAGAAAGAGATAGAGTCGTTTAAGATGTAATTATGGTATTAACGTATGTGAATTTTTCAGTGGAATATGAACTATTGGAAGGAGTTCTCTTAAGCCTCATCTCATTATTTGATCAAATCAGATGATGATAGACGCTTACATTAAGGGTGTATTAACGAGTAATTTACACAATAACCGCTTGTTCTAAGATTCTACAGAAAAAAGAGCCTAATGTACTCTTAAGTACACTTGAGTTCGTATTATGTCAAACAAACTTAACCCTTGCACAAACATTATGCAATCAAAAATGCAAATCAGTAATTAACAGCATATGGAATTTGTTTTCAAGATGTGAATGCTTGATTATTTGTATTTCTGTTGAAATGCAAAAGAGCCAAGGACTATGAGCATAAATGTTATTACTGAAAAATGAGTACAATGGTAATTTCTATTAGGCATTTTAAAATAGGAGGAAGGGAGGTACAGATATCAAACATAAAAACGATTTTACTTTATATCAGTGCTGTATTAGTATTGATTAAACATGACTTATAAGGTACTCCATTGAATTTGCCCATTATGATGAAAATCTACACATTATTTGTTAATTAACATAAAAATAACATGGAAGTTATTTTTAATTTTTAGAAATACGTTTTAATAGCACCAAATCTTGATATTTACAGGAAATAAAAGAAAGCGGACATTTTGTTTTAAGCAGACTGTTTGTGCATAAGTCGTTTAACGTTGCTGAATGGAATGTTCTTTTTTATCATGCACAATATGACTGGGAAAAATCAGTTCTACAAAGTTATTGTACAACTTTATTTGAAAATAATTTACACCATTAAGGTTAATTGCAATTTAGGATAAGTTTGATTAATTATAACATTGTGCGTTAGTTGTAATGATGTTTGTGCTTTGTTATAATAAACAAAACTTATCATTCTTTATTAAAACAATTGATATAATTAATAAATAATTCAAGACAGTTTAACATTTATCATTCAAGACATTTTAACAATTTTCTAATTAAAAATGAAAGTGCAGCATGTATCATACGACTTCGTACAACCTCTAGAGTTGTTAGATAATAAAAACCAGATTCAGTTTATATTTAAGACTTATCAGTCAGTCTGAACAATTAACATTCACAGAATCTCCAACAACTCGAAATCTTGTGGAATCTTGTTAAGCCAGTCGCTCATTAAAACATTGAATGAAAAAATAAACATACGCAGTACAATTCCAGTCTTCAACTAGTTATCCTGCCCGTGACCATGTAGGCTTTTTACGATTTTCATAATAATTAGATAAACATAAATGCTGAATTTTGAGTTAAACCGAGCCTGCAACTAATTTTATTCATAACGTTATGATTTTCGTTTCCCCCAAAATCTAACAAGACCTCGACATGGCAAATAAAATTCTGTATTTCAATTAAAAAAATGTAAATGTGAACATAACTTGAAGATCAATAAAATATGTCCGAATTATTCTTCTATTAATAATTCATCGGTATTAAAGTTATTGTTTTTTTCTCATTTGATAATATTACGTTACAGATAAACTGTGACCATCAAAACTTGCAACATTATAATTGGCCAAAATTCAGAAAATCCAATGCAGCAAAAACATGCCTTAGAATGTATACAGTCAATTTCCTGAAAATTTCATAAATAATAAAATTATGCTTTGTGAAAGTAGAAAATAAACGTTTTCTTTATATCTAATTGTTTCTTTGAAGTTTGTTTGTTTGTTCGTTTTATAAATTAAATTATTGTAACCCATTTTTATTCCGTTTACATAGTATACAATTAAAACTCTTAACGTCTTTTAAGCATTGATAAATGTTATGTGATTTGATAGAAAAGTAGTTTTCAAATTTACATTAATTTTTGTGATGCTAATACATTTTTGTAGATGAGACATGTCATTACACATTTCTACATGCCATAAAGCATTTGGCAATTAAAACACTTATTCGTGAACAAACCTTTTCATCTTCATCTGTAATTTAACGACTGTTCAAGTACAGCTATGAATATATTCGCCACTTTTTCTTACTGGATATCCATTAATGAAGTAATAAAGTCTTAAATAAAACACGAAAATATTACCCATACAGTAGTTTTTGCCAATTTGAAGTGTATTCAATCAGTGTGCACACACAATTCTGCAAAAACCCTTAATATTTAACAATATAATTGTAGAATAAACTTAACCTCAATCAGAATGAACTTATAAAAACGAAGATTATTGTAAAATACTGTCACATTGCCAGTAGAATCGTTAACTTGTTAGAGAAGTGCGGATACAGTATCATGCATTTCTTGATATAATTCCATTACGTAAATATTTATCATTTTGTTTTTACGCGAAAATGTTTCAGACGTTTACAGTTATGTGTTTCTTTCAAGTTGGAATTAACTAGTCTCTAAGAGAAGCATCTAATTCGTTAAGTTAAGAAAGCGATAGTTTGCCTAAAAGTAACCTGGATTTACATAATTTCCTTTGTCATCATATGGTTAAAATATTTGATAAAAGAAAAATGTAAACAAATGAGTAATGAAAAATATGGAAACACTATGGCTAATTAAAATTTAAATACTGAATTTTAACTGAATTTGTTTTGACATTGGATCATTAATATGGTTTCAGTTGCTTTATGTTTTCTTGATTCTGTTGGTGTGATTGAATCTGTTATAAGATTAGCTCATATGTACGCATTACTTTCGGAAAGTGCTCCAGACAATGTGACTAAGATTCCTACAACAACCGGACCGCTGATTGGAGAGAGCAAAGATAAAATGTATGTATTATATAACAATGCTTGTCATTATGTTTTGCCATTCTTTAGTTGTTATTTTGTTTAAGTTATCTATTGGTAAATTCAGTCTACCTGTGTGATAATTAAAATTTTTATTGTCATTGTAAAGCATCTAACAGGTAAAAGAACATGTCTTGTAGTTATTTACCTTATGAAATATAAATTTAAGAAACGTTTGTCCGAATATTTAATAAATAGATTATTAAATAGTTGTATTATATTCGAACTGGTTACTAAAACTTATAGCTTTAAGTGCATCATAAATGTTTGAATGACTATGTCTCTGGTAAATACGTAATAAAACTATAAACAGTTTTTGCATCAAACTTTAAATTTTGTGTTTTTTAACTGTGCTTGATAAACATTTTCAAAATCCCTGTGTTAAAAGGTTAACGAAAGAATTTGTTTTTTATTTTAGAACTGTAAGACATTATGCAAAACACGAGTTATGCAAGAACTTTGACGGTAAAAAGTATTTCTACAAAGCAATGAAAACAAAGTTTTGTTCTTTGACATGTAAGTAAGAACTTAATATAAATAATTAAGCGCATTTAAATCATTCAGTAATATACCATTATTTTATTCTAATGTGCAAGCTTCGAAATCAAACGATTAGATTACGAGATCCTAATTAGCATAGTTGTTTGGCACTAGAATGTATTTATCTGAAGCCACGTCGTTTTTATCATAACTCTTAAAAACGATTTTGAGAGTACATGTATATAATTTTAAAATAAACAGATATGTTTGTAAACGACAAAATATGAGTTAAATATTTTATTTTCTTTTACCTTCTTAGTTTCATATAGTGAAAATGGAATGTAACAGACTGTTTTCTTTTTTCAGCAACATTTACAGCAAACCATGTATTTGATTTATGTAGGAATCACGACTATATGCTCGTTAAATGGGTATCAGCACTTTTCGATTTTGATGGTAAGTTAATCCATTTTTTTGTATCGATTATCTGTTTCCTTTCTACGTTTAGCTAAGTCAATTGCTGCATTCAATCACAGAGACGATATACATGGATTTTCACTTGGAAACATTATACAAATTTATTCATCATGTCAACTTTTGTGAACTAACATTGATTTGTTGTAAATCGATTGAATGATATCAACCTAAAACTTTTAAAGTAACTATCCAGAAAATTGACGGGCTAGTTTTTTTCCCCTTCAATTTCGATAGTATTATCAAATGTACGTTTACCTATGATTATTTTGTGACCTTTAAAATGTTTATAATATTTAGTATTAACTTTGTAAAATACACCAGGTTGGCTTCAATTATAATGTAAAGCAAACTATACTTACATATTTTATAAACCATAACTAATAATACAGTTCATATTTTGAGTAGGTAAATATTTATGTTCTGTGTTTTTATCACAAACCTTTTGATAAACCATTTTAAGCATGTCGTTTTTTGTATTATTTCAGGTGATGGATATATAACGCATTTAGAAAGAACATACTATGAATGACACAAAACAATTAAGTCAAAGTGCATAAGATAATTTATTGTATGCTTTGCTTGTTTCCGTGTTTGGAACGTAGTTACCTTTCAAATCTCTTAGAATTAGATAAGATTAACAGGGAGTGACACTGAATCACCATTAGCCAAACATAATTTGACTTTTTATGAAATAAATCGATTTTCTTGGTGCTATGATCAAGATAATTCCACTAAGTCATTTCGTTAGTATTGTTTTTAAATTTTATTTCAGTATTAAGCATATTTTTCTGTGATATTGATATAGATATTTGATTGTGATGAGTTTCAAAATAATTACAAAAGCATAATTAAAATATTTAATTTCCTTTCTTACTCATAGGAGGACGTTAATATTAAGGGTGTTTTAATTGATTTCAAATTAATTCCTATTTACACTAATTCAAAGCTATGTAACACCTTCAACACCAAACACAGCTATGGAAACTGCTTATTCATTTTGTAGTGTGTTATTTTTGGTGTAGATGGGCTTGTCTTGGTATATTAATACTCATGAATTAGATATTTTTGTGTGCTTGACATTATGTTGTAAATGCAGGTATTACTTGTCTATATAACAATATAAATAAAGTGGGTTTTCAAAATATCAACGGCGTTATTTACAGAGACCGACATTTGTTTCGGCTATATATAACTAGGACATTCTAAAGATCACGTATTAGTCTTTTATTACCTTATTTTTCTTTACACTGTTATGCTATAATTTTGATATTTCTGTTGTGAATAACTGATATATCCATCATGTCTTTAGATTATAAAAGATGATATTTTTTTGTTTAGGTTTTTTATTTCGTCATACTGATATGATTGCATGTAAGATTTTATACAATAAAATTGCAATTATTTATATCTGCTCTTTTTTCCGGAAATGGCTTAAATTTTGTTGTTATTCCTGCTTCATACAGTAGAGATTGATCCTCAATGTTAAATTGTAAATCTACACTTTGAAGTGTTAATTAAAATGTTTCATTCACAAATTCTTAACACTTTAAATGTGTTCTCTTCTTAGCATACACAATATGACGAAATAAATTTTGGATACAAAAAGATAAACTTCGCATTGCATGTATTGTAATCCGGCTTGCTTTTCTTCTAAAATAATTGAATTGGATTGCAGAATTTCGTTGTTGTTGAAAAGTGAGTTCTACAGGATAGATAAGCCTTAAAGTATTTTTGCTATTAAAATGGTGAAAATACATAATCCAATATGAGTACTAAATATTTAATTAAATCAGATTTATAAGACTTTGTCCATTACTAAAGCATGAATAAGGCAATTATACGATAACTCGTTCAACCATTAATTCTTAATTTATGAATCACAAAATTGCAGTTTTTAGACACAATGCACACTGCTACGGTGTCTATGTCATATTCGAGAACATTGCAATAAATACAAAATGATTATTATAAAGTATTTATCTTGAAGTATCTATTTAACAATTATAAGAATGTCAATCAATTTAAATTCCTCAATTCTTATCTGGAGCAAAGAACGATAATTTACTAAGACATTAACCGACAAACTTAACAGCTTACTAATTTAACAGTTTACTCATGGATTCTTAAACAAAAAAAAACATTCTTATTGTATGAAATTTATTTGTATGGAAATACATCATACCATAATATAACAAATACGTGCAATATACAATTTTGAATATGTTATTATTTCCATTTGAAGGACCTGACAATTACAATGTAGTTGTGTTTTTTCAATTCTCGCTATCGTAAAATATCAGTAAATACAACAGTTTAGCTCGAATCATTTGTCAAAGCGTAAATGAACTTCAGTGTTATTTTTTAGACAATATTCGGCGGTATAACTTTGTACTACTGCTAAGACTGGTTTTGCTTTATCTTTTTTACAAATGAATGTAAAGATAAGTTAATAAAAAGCTTAGTAATTTAATTAATATAATCTCAAAAGTATATGAACAGCATAATCCGAATTATATATATCAAAACCTTTGGCAGGTTTTTAGACAAAGGACGTTTTAAGCAAAAGGCAGTTCCTATTCTAATCAAAATGTATATCAACATTATACATTTTACCTCATCTTTACAGAAGTTGTAAATGAATGAAAACAACACAAAAGTTAAAAATTCTACACAGACATTTATTATATTAATAGCTTCTATGACATGCATATTATATTCAAATAAATTAAACAAGAGAGTAAAGTTTACAAATATCACAGATAATGCTATAATAATAAGATAAAATAATGCATTGGTAGTTTTAAAATGTAATACATGTCTCTATTAAAGAAATGTCTTATGTAAACAATATAATAAAAAGCGTATTAAAGACGAAAATGTTTACTCATTTGTTATGAATTAGATTTTAACAAGCATATCTATTGTAAACAAGCACACATATCCGATGCCTAAAATGCAATTCAAAAACGTATCTTATCGTAAAAATAACTCATTTTAACCGTTTTTAGATATGTATGTGTGCAAGCAATGAACAAATATAATTGTTAAAACTAAGTGAGTATCAAAGCAACGCATATGCATTTTGACAATTTTACAATTCATAGTTAAGTGAAAGTCCAATTAAAATTAATGTACTTATTTCAAATTATCTAAGTTTTATAAAACTGAAGATACGATAACAATAACTTATCAAAAACATTTTAATGCCCCTTCATAAATTACAGCATAATGATAGCATTATCAGCTTGTATTAAGTTTAAAAATCACATAGTATAAGCTATCTATATCATATTTAATAAAGAATAAAGGATACGTTTTGATTACGTTTGCATGCTTTATATATAATCTTTATATAAAATGTAAATAAGTTTGAAGTTCAAGATGATATAAGGCAAAGTTTCAACACACTTCTCAAGATATCACATAATACTCATGGAAGTCTATTCACATGAATAATGTAAATATACTTATCCATATGTATCTTTGCAAGCTCTAGCACATTTGTGCTGTCGTTTTCTTTTTTTTTTGTTCCCACATTTTGTTTAGTTCAACAGCAGTAAAGGGTTACTTGTTAACTTCGTACAGCATCTTTTCATGGTGAGTAATCATTCCATCACCTTAAAAATGAAATTATTAAACAGTTTAAAATTGATAATATCAAGCAACAAGTTTCAAAATTACAAAGAAGCGTTTATGATATTTCTGATTCTATAATCTCTCTCCCCCTCTCTTTAACTTTTTGTTGTCCTTAAATTAATTTTAATAGATTTTTTTACCTTTATAACTTATAAAAAATAAATTCATATGAAAATGAATACTATTGTCGAGTCTAATCGAACTTTTTAATTTCATTTATTCAATGACTAATTACTTACCATCCACATCAAACAATTCTGAGACCCATTTATCTAGAAAAGAACCTCTGTGTTTGCACAGGTCTTCAACAAATGTTGCTACAAACATCTCTAAAATGAATACGTGAAGTCATTCATTTATATTGTAAGATTCGGGTTTTATTCATCTTTGTATGTACCCTTTGTCTTTCGTTATTGTAAAAGAACATCAAAATTTGAAACTAACTTTTATAAATATTATAATATTGATAAAAAATTAAATTCCCCTTAGGCAAATTTTCTTAATATGATTTCTTTAAGTTGCAAGTAGTTGATTTCGAAAAGGTATTGTTATCCACAAAGATTGACTGATATATGAGATAACAGCATAATGTATGACTACAATGGAAGTGAAATTAAAATTTCATATTTAATGTAATAATCAAATAATAAAATAAAGCATCTAGTTATATATATCAATTTAACATCTTATAGACTGGTCATGTTACTGATTGATGTTAAAGTTCTATAAGGTACTATAATTACTTCAGTTATGTCAGATACATACATGTATGTAGGTTGTTTAATTTTCAGTTAAACCCTTACAGAAACCTATCAGAACTATTTTTGATGTTGATTGAGAAAAACAATATGTATATCACTCACCTTTGATTTGACATAACTTTCCTTTCAATGCTTTATAGAAATGTTGCTTATCTCTCTTATTCCTGCATAGGCCGTGTCTTGCAAAATGACGTAATGGACTGTAATTTAGAATACAGTACAAATTGTTAATGAAAAATTATATTTGTTTGATAATCTAATGAAATAATTATCTCAATTTAACGCAATAAAACTAAGATTAAATCTTAAAATATTGGCTATTGCGAGGCATTGCAAAAAGAAATTGTGAACTTACATAGTGTGCATCTGATGATCAACTTTGTAATCAAAGGACGAATCTACCGACTTTAAAGTGATTGAGCCGTCATTTTCATCATTAAATAAATCCTCGTCTAGTCGGTTGGCTACTGCTGCATTTACAATGGCAATACTTATTACCAGTACAAAAGCAATTCTCACAATAGCCATGCTTCTTTGAAGTTTCATGTTTAAAGAAGTATTGATCTATTGGATGCTTCAATTAACCTATATCTCAGATATATTGTTGTTGCCTTGAAATAGTCTCTTTCTATATCATAAATGTAATAAAGTCGTAAATTGAAACAGTATTATTGCTGGATGAATCACACTGAGCCGCAAAATGTTAACTTCTGATAACCTGAAACAGAAAAATAACAATGCTTTGCGAAACAATGCTCGATTGTTTTAGAAACTAAGGAAAATCTATAATCTTTAGATAATGATAACAAGAGCAATGAAATGATCATGGAATCAATCTGTGCAAAAGAAGGATTAATTAAATTGTTCATCCTCATCCCATAGATACTTATTAAATTTAATTGTTCGTCCTATCATCACATTAAAAGTTTGTCAAAGAGTATTCATGATATATAAAAAGAAGTCATTATAATATATAATGATAGTAATTTTTTTCTTTTCAATTGAAACTTACGGAAGCTTATCAGGGCCTCCACTTATCTAAAAGTTTCACGTCATGTCAACTTGTTTCTTCTCGTTTTGACCAAATACATTCCATGAAGACGTTATGATTAATACGTAATACATAAAACATTCAGTGAAGACGTTAAGATTTATACGTAATACGTAGAAGTTTTTAATCATTGCAAAAAAACTTTGTTGAATTACGTGAGCTATTTGTCAATGCGAGTAACGTCTTCGCGTCTTACTAAATATTTCAGCAAAGTCGTGAAATCAAGAAGTTTCGACAGGATTTTTGTCAAAGAGACAAAAGCTTCAAGCAAATCGAGAAAAATTCAGTTTCAATACCTAAAAGCTTCTCATATTTGTCAGTAAATTTTATTGAGAAATGCAAAATCATCTTATCAATGCAAATAAAAATAAGTTGACTTGGCGCAAAACATCTCACCGACTGTAGGCCCTGATACGCTTCCGTAGAAACTTATCCATTTCAAGTCTACAATTTCTCTTTGTTTAAAATGTTCTATCTGAATATTTGAATTGCATAGACAAGCAAACAAAAATAAAAACTAATTAATTGCATTCTTTAAGACTTATCTAAGTTTTTATTTACAGTTGACATTTAGTATATTTAAAGAGATTACTATTTAATTTATGTATTTTCTTCTCGTTTAAACCATGAAAATTATTTACAATCTTTTAGAATGTTCATATTTAAGTGAAGAATTACTGCAATAAATATAGGTGTTCTTAGACGCAATGATAGAAAACTGATTTCAAATTATCATATTTTTACAATTTAATATGAGTTAAGCTTTTTATTCAATGGTTGAAGTTCTAAACAAAAATGACAATGTCAAGAATATCAATTTTAATGTAAGAAACCCATACATTTTAGTAAAAACACAAACTAATTTTATTAATTAAATCCTTAAAACCGTTCTTTCATAAAGTTAAATGATTGTATATCTGTTCTCTCAAAGAAAATAGATTTTCTATTATTTTATTTAGTTTTATATGTTGTTGCTAGAACGTTAAGAAAATTATTAAGTTATAATTTGATAACTAAAGCACTTACTGTTTATGCTTAGTCTCTTCTATCCGTAAAAACTGTATTATAACTCAGTCGAAAATATTGTTGTTTACTGATGCAATCACGCTTTCAGACTTCGTTCAATTTCCAATTACGTGAACTTAAATACTTGAGAATACCTACGGATAATTATGACGCGTGCATATTGTTATATCTGTAACAATGCTTTTTATTGGTTAATCAATTACGATTACTAATGAAACACATTTTGATACATCCAAAACCCAATGGGGTGTACGAACATTATGACTAAGATTACTTATAATGCAACATGCCAACCACTAATGTTAAATGACAATTAATGAATGTAACTTTATGTATTTTTTCACATGCTTGTCAGTGTCAAACCATACTCTAATGTAATGCAAAACAAAAATATGATAACACTTTCTGAGAATAATCATTGTGTATTAATGAATCAATGACATGCACAAACCAGATAACCCATTAATTCGTCGGATTGATATTGCCTAAAATTATTTATTCTTTAATATTACTAATTCGTCTATTCTATAACTTGCTAGCAGCATGTCAAAAGAGATGTGTGTTAAAATTTGTGAAAACTTTATGAGAGTAAATGTTGCTATTTGTTTGTATGTTTTTATTTATTTATTTATATGTTGTTGTAGTAGCTGTGTGTTTTTTTTGTTATTATTTATTTTACGGCGTACCTACACAACTTAGTTCATATGGTCCGAAAACGAAAAGATGATTTTAGCTTACTTCGGTGTTACAAACTAAAAGCAACACATGGGGTCAAAACCACCTCACCTTTGCATGCATGGACTCCAGTTATTTAAACCCTTTATGTCGTCCCTTACGATCACGAGGAATAAACGGTGGATGCAATTCTGATGCCTCAACCTTTAGCCAGAAGGGGGATGTTGCTATTTGTAAAATTAAAGTTGTTAAACCTAGCCCAAGGCACCAACTATCGCAGGACCTATCACTTGTAATAATGTGAAACAACAAATTTTAGTCCAATATTAACGGGGTATAGCTTTGTGAACAAACTACTTAATGTTTACAAATAATTTCAAAATAACTCACCAGGATCATTAATAATCATTTATTTTTTATCATCAATTTTATTTAATTATTGTTTAGATTTATTCAACTCAACTAGATGTCTGCCTTGTCATTTTAAAAATAAAATTCACCGGAATGAGAAATAAATAACTAAGGATTTTTTCATTATTTTTCAGACATTAATTGTTCTCTTGGAACGCGTAGAGTAGGAAAATATTATCAAAGAAATAGAAAATTTTCAAGTTTTGTTATATTGTTACTGTACCATTTTAATTTAGTCATTCATGTGTTATATAAACGTTGATTTTTCTTATAAAGTAAATGCTTACAAATTTATTACAAGTCATTAAACGCACTAATGTTTGATTAAGCCATAATGTACCTGTGGTTATCTCTGCAATAGAGAAGTCATAGTGCTATTAATATATATTATGTTACATAAAATCTGCTGAAGAGGTGCAAGTAAAGTGGTATTTAACTTTTGCGGCTTAGTGTGTTTCATACATGAAAGTTTTTTTCCAAAAAGCGTTCCTTTTGTGTGTTTTAATTATTTGTATTTATATTCCTTATTGCTTCGTCTGGCCTGAAATATTTTTCATATACACTCGTTTATGAATACTAGCTTATAAATTGTACCAATAGCAGAAATAATGATCAATCTATACACTTAGTTATGGAATGTTGTTGCAGTTTATGTGTAGCAACATTCATGATTTTCAAAGCACTTCTTAATTGTTGCAACAGCAATAATATTCGGCATTTATTACAGTACGGAATAAATGGTAAGAGACAAATATGAAACCAAAGATCAACAAGGACAACAAGGAAAGGATGGTATTCAATAAACACATTCCCAACAAAATCCAGAAACACAGCACCACCAGCAAGGAGCTCGTAAGGGCACCAAAGAAAAACATGAGAGCGCACAAAGGTACAGCACGGCCGCGGCGTTATTATAAATAGTTCAATAATGAAAATCATAGACACCGACTTCACGTACATTTTACAATCAATGCTTCTGTGTTTGTTTATAAAACTGAATCACCTATCGATCCTATAAACATTTTTGTTGTAATTTACAATTGAAGCACATTGTATTTTTTCATCCGACAATCATGTTTTCTCGATAGTTTGTTTTGTATTGGATGTTTATTGAAATTTTACAACAGCATAGCGGGAATTGTGACAAGTTGATTCTGAATCACTTGAAAACTCGAAGGTCCTTGTCATGGGTTTATTACATGTTTATGTCTTGCACGGATGAAATATCGGAAACTGATTCATTAAGATACGCAGCTTTATTGGTATTGTGATACTAGTATTAAAAATGCTTCTTGTTTATTGGGCAAAAATATTGCATGTCGTCATTTCAAATCAGAGTAAGTGATATTTTCATATGTTGATATTAATCTTTTAAAATTGAAGATATTTACATTGATAAACTGAAATAAACTCTTCATAGGAAATAAGCGCTAAAGTGTAGTATTTTAAAGCAAGAGCCACCGCCTGGCGGTGTCCACGTTCAACATGTTGTTATTTCTAACGTCAAACACAGCAGAGGAAAAATAGCATAATAAAAGACTTGTCATACAATTTTGTGACATATGATCTTGATGGACAAGGTCATTCAAATGTCAAGGTCACGTTTGAATTAATCATCGTGTTAGTTTTGTCGTAAGTGTTCTTTTTCTATAAGAAAAAGGTGTACTGTTAAAGTTTCAAAAGGGTTAAACAATAAGCGTGCATTTTGTCATACAATAGTTTACTCATAATCTCTTTTAATCAAATGTTGAATAATTGTGGTAAAACTTACTGAAATAATACTATAACACAAACATCAAAAACTGACTTGCTTATGCCTAGTCGCAAAAGAGTTTATAAACCGCTCTCAGTTTAGATTTTGCGAAACCCTTTGCATGCTATTTGCTTGAAATGTAATCTTATGTAAGGCACGAATTTGGAGAACATGCTTTCGGCTTACATCATGTGTAAGAAATTGTCGTAAAGTGAAGGTAACAAGCTTGTTCATAGACCAATTTGCAACAAAATTTGAACAAGAATTTAGTAATAAACTGTTTGCTTCGGGAACAGTATTTTTCAAAGACATTATTGGCAACGACAATGATCCGACTGGCAGCTTAATGTGATATACAAGCAGATGAAATTGCCGCGCCATCATAATCGCATACGCCATGTTAGTATCTAGAGATCATGTTTCTTTGTCTTGCGATTTCTAAATCAGCCATGAGAGACACCTGTCTACAAGACTCAATGTCCAAAATTGTTACCTAGAAATTTCGCCGGTCTTGAGGAATAACACCTGGTTTCATAATAATAGCAGATACTGCCGCACTGGCTAAATGAGTACAAAGATCATCAAGAGAAACGCTTATGCCATGAAGTTATCATCCGGAAATGTCTGTCAGGCCAGCGCCATCTATCGCCATAATTATTTGCCGTAAAGATAACACTTTATACCTATGTACAAACATTATTTTCTGTATGTCAAATGGTATATTTTACATAAATAAATTTGCTTTCAGTTTTCATCAACAATCGTGCATGATTAAACATAACAAACCGTTTCTGAAATCGATGTGACGTGATAGTTTCCATATACGGAATAAGTTTTCACAGTTCCCGCAGACAGGGCGTAGCGATCTTGGTTTTATTAGGGCACGGGGTCTGTAAATACTCTTTGGACATATTCCTTGTGCGATAGCTGCCTTTTGTCCCATACCCATGCCACTTTTGCAATTCCGTAAAAATAGTATGGCACGGTCGGGCATATGTTTTGACGTGACGTCACTAGCGTTATACAAACACAGTATACAAGTGCCCTTATGTTAGCGTGTCGATATAGGCGCGTCAATGAAAAAATGATTGTTTAAATTGAAAAATGATTCTTATCTTGGTTACATGATAAATAGTTTATCATATTCGTGTAGGTGCATTTATGAATGTATTGAACTAGTTGAATAAAATATCGCCAGAGGCTCTCGCATTATATAATTTTATTAAACTCGTTTAAATAATTAATTATTGAACGTACACTCATTTAGTATCCTCTATATCATCTTCATTCTTTTTTTTTTCTTATACAGTCGAACTTCGTTCGCTCAAACTCGGAGGGCCCATGAAAATTTGTTTGAGAGATCGTTAGTTCGAGCCAACCAAGGTTGAAATATTAATATGTATAATAAGATCGTACATATACCTGTTTGAATGCTATCCTGATTTTTCGCGCACACTGGGGTATCTAAATCAATGTTCATGAATTAGTTTACGTCATTTTTTTCATCTTGAATAATTCAACTAGTCTGGCGATAAAAATATTGTCGTCCTCGTCGTCTGATTTATCTTCAACCAGCCCGTTGGTCTCGAAACTTGAACTCTGCGTGTCTGTAGCAATTACTGATTGTTTGGGCAGTAATCATTGACCACGATTGTTTTAATAGACGTTACGCGTCTAGCACATTCAACACTTAATCCACGCGATTATCTATAGCTTCCAGTTGTTGTTTGATCACTTGACGACGGTAATGTACTTTTAAGTTTTTGATAATTCCTTGGCCTATAGACTGTGTATGACTGGTGGTATGTTGTGGTAAAAACACAATTTCAATATATTTGACTCCTTTTATATGCAGATGCGCCGGACAATTATCAATCACTTTAGCAACCTTTCTGTTCTGACGATGAAATTGTTTATCAAGTTTCACTATCTATCAAGGATGTGAATAGTTCTCCTGTCATCTATGCCTTTGTGTTATTTTTGTACTCTACGGGTAATGTCTTGACATTCTTGAAATAGCTGGGATTAGCTATCACTAACAACGGAACCTTATCACCACCAGACCTATTGGAACACACGAGTACAGTTAAACATTCTTTGCTTCTCTTTCCACCCTGACAACTGACATCATTTGAATTCAAGTGTTTTTTTTCTGGTGTAAGTTCATAGAATAGTGCTGTGTCGTTGGCATTGTAATTGTTCATTGGAGAATATTTTTTTAGAATTGTTTCCAGATGTCCTAACCAGGCGTCTATATCTGTCGAGTTACAATATACCGATTTAGCTTCACCACAATTTGTTTAAAATGATTTCCGCGTCTTTTTTTGAAACGATTTTACCATCCAGTTGACTGTTTTAATTCTTCTATTCGTAACTGTTCTGCGAAACATTTAGACTTCTCTAAAATGATAGGGTCTATAACAGCGATGTTTTGGTCACTAGCTTGTTTGAACCATCGTAACAGCGAGGTCTCGCTTCGTAGCATCCCTGAAAATAGAATGTAAAATAATAACAATTTACGCATACATGTACATATATATCATTATTAAGTTAAAACATATATTTTTATGCATTATTTCGAAATGGATTTTTTACATGTTGAATGAATTAATCATAATGCTTTCTAACAATTTTACAAAATAAAGCTTACATACAGAAATCTATTTTTTAAACATAATAACTTAAAACATTATAAATTATTAAAATGGATATTTAACTTACTTTTTAGTCCATATTTGGTGAACTCATCTTTAATTGTCCCAGCT